GCCTAGGATTGATTTCTGTCAATAGTATGTTAGGGTTTATTAATTTGCTGGGGCTGCCTAACAAAATACCACAGATGGTGTGCCCTAAAGAACAGAAATAATTCTGAGAGGCTGGGAGTCCAAGACCAAGGTGACAGTAGGGTTGTTTCTCCTGCAGCTCTCTTTTGGAATTGTAGACAGTTGCCCACTCCTTATGTCTTCCCATGGTCAACCCTCCATGTGTGTCTGTGTCCTAACCTCTGCTACTCATGAGGACAGCAGTTACACCGGATTAGGGCCCATCTTAATGACCTCATTTTAGTTACCTTTTTAAAGACTCTATTTCCAAATACAGTTACATTCTGAAGTACTGGGAGTCAGCACTTCAACATATGAATTTTGAAAGGGGACATGACTCAGCCCATAGCTTACAGTCAATTTTTTTTTATATGGATATTCAATTGACCTAGTACATTTATTGAAAATAATGTTTCTCCTCTATGATTTTGGTACCAAAGTAACCAGAAATTAAGTATTCATATGCATGTGAATCTGTTTCTACACTTCCTCTGCTGTTAGTCTCTTTAATTCTTATGCCAACAATACAAATTAGTAAATATGTAGGATAAGCAAGTGAAAAGGTCTAACCTACATGAGGACAATTGTTAATACTAGTGTATCACATTCAGAAATTTTGCTAAATGAGTACACTATAGTTGCTCTTGCAACAGAGGGGAGAATGGGCAACTCTGTGAGATGATAGATATGTTAATTTGTTCCACTATAGTAACCATTTTACTATATATATATATTTTATAATATCATGTTGTATACCTTCAACGTACACAATACAAATTTAAAAAGATACTGTTTTAATTACTGTAGTTTAATTTTAAGTCTTGATATTCACGGAGCAAAACCTTTTGACTTATCCTTCTTCTTTAAGAGTGTCTGGGATAATCTTGGCGCTCCCCATGTCTATGTAAATTTTTTTCAAGTCCCCTTCTCCCACAAAAAATCCTTATTAGCATTGGACTGGGAGGGAATTGATAATTAACTTCATAGATCAATATATTTTTACAATATTGAGTCTTCCAATCCACTAACTTGGCAGCTTCCCTTTAGGTCTTTTCTAATTTATTTTAATAATATTTCATAGTTTCAGTGTAGCAATCTTGCACATCCTTTATTAAATATGTTTTTAACTTTTAGAATCCTTTATTATTGTAAACTGTGTCAAACTGCAAAATTTTACTTTATGTATTTTATTGTATGTTGGTGACATACCGAATTTCAGTTGATTTTTAAATTGATCTTATGTTAGCAAAGTTGCTGAACTCACTTATTGATTCAATAATTTATCTGTAAATTTGTTTACATTTTCTACAAATATAATTACAATTACATCATCTTCAAATAAGATGACTGTTTTCATCTCTTCTTTTTTAACCCTTCTAATTTTTATTTCCATCTTTTTTCTTTTGAGACAGGGTCTTGCTCTGTTGCCCAGGCTGGAGTGCAGTGGTGCAATCTTGGCTCACTGCAACCTTGACCTTCAGGGCCCAAGTCATCCTCTCACCTCAGCCTCCCAAGTAGCTGGGATTACAGGCACACACTACCACACCTGGCTAGTTTTCATGTTTTTTGTAGAGATGGGGTTTAGCCATGTTGCCCAGGTTGGTCTTGAACTCCTGGGCTCAAGCGATCCACCTGCCTCGGCCTCCCAAAGTGTTGGGATTACAGGTATGAGATATTGCGCCTGGCCTATTTGTATTCCTCGACTTAATGAATTGGTTAAACCTTCAATATGCTGTTGAATAGCACTGGCAAGGGCAGGCATATTTTATCTCATTCCCAATCTCAAATGGAATGAAACTGAGCAATGTTCCTCATCAGATTAAGAAAGTTCTATTACACTCCCGGTGGAGTAACAGATTTTATAACGATGGGTATTAGATTTCATTATACTTTTTCTTCATCTATTAAAATAACCCTATAAATTTTCTTTCATTCTGTTAATATGGTAAATTAAAATGATTGATTTTTATTCAACCTCTTGCTTTAAACCACTCTTGCACTCTTAGAATAAATAAACTTGTTTGTGTGGAATTATCCTTTTACTATAGTTTCAGATTATATCTAATATTATTTTGTTTATATTTTTTCCAGCTAAGTCCATGCCAGATTTGGACATGTAATTTTCCTTTCTACAATTTCTTTTTTTTTTTTTTTCTTGTCAGTTCTTGGAACGAAAGTTATGCTGGTTTACATAAAAACAGGTTGTGGGATATTTAATGTTTTTTTTTCCTAGTCCATGAAATAATTAAGCAAGATTGGTGGTTTTTATTCCTTAAATGTGTGACAGAATTAACTGGTAAAACCAGCTGGGCCTGGAGTTTTCTTTGTGAGAAGGTTTATAATTACAGTTTCAATTTCTCTAATAATTATAGGATTCCACATTTTCTATTATTAGTTGTATATTTCTATTGTTTGTCCATTTAATCTAAATTGTCAAATATATTAGCATTAGTATTATTATAATTTCCTCCTGTGATATTTGCAGTATCCTTGTGATGCCCTCATTTTTAAATTTTTTAAAAATTTTTATTTATTTATTTTTTCTTTTTTGAGACGGAATCTAGCTCTGTCGCCAGGCTGGAGTGCAATGGTGCAATCTCCGCTCACTGCAACCTCCACTTCCCGATGCCCTCATTTTTAAATCATAATGACCTTTGTGATGATCTTTTAAAAATCCCTCCTGCTAGGTTTTTCTTGATAAGTCTCACATTAAATTTTATTAAATTTTAAAAGTTTTTGCAAGAATTAAACTTTAGATTGTTTAATCCTTTCTATCATACACTTGTTTTCTAATTTATCTATTTCTGCATTTGTTCTATTATTTTCTTGTTTCTTCTTTTGGGGAGGAGGCAGATTACTAAATTTGCTATTCCTTTTATGTTTCTTGTGATAGCCTCATTTATTTTCTATCTTTTTTTATTCTGTAAATTTTCCTCTATGTTTTGGTATATATTTTATCCTTAAAATTCATTTCAAATTGTTTTCTAGATTCTGCTGCGATGTCTTCTTTGACCCATATATTTATTTAGAGGAATAATTATTTCCATATATCAATTTTCAAGTTACCTATGTAATTGATTTTTTTCTTTTTAGTTTAAACACCTTCCTGATATGTAATTGATTTTTAGTCCAACTGCATTGTGGTCAGAAAACTTATTTTGCATGATTTCACTTTCATGAAATTAGTAGAGCTCTGTGTTATGGTACAGTGGACAGTTTTGTGAAATATTCTGTGCGTGCTTGGAACGAATGTATTCTGTAGCTATTGACTACAGTGTTCCATGTATGTCAATTAAATCATATTTACTAATGCAGGCTAAGTATCTCTTATCTGAAACACCTGGGACCATAAGTGTTTCAGACATCAGATTCTGGAACATTTGCATATACATAATGAGATATCTTGAGCATGAGACCCAAGTCTAAACATGAAATTCATCAATGTGTTGTACACAGCTTATACACATAGCCTGCGTTTTTGACTCCATCACGTGAGGTCAGATGTGGAATTTTCTACTTGGTGGCTTCAATGTCAGCACTCAAAAACTTTCAGATATTGCAGCATTTTGGATTACGGATTTTTGGACTAGGAATGCTCAACTTGTATTGTTGTCCAAATCTTTTATATTCTTACTGGTTGTTTTTTTTTTGGGGGGGGGGTATAATTGTTTTATCAGTCATAGAGTGGCAGAATAAAGTCTCCCACTATTGTAGATGTGATTTTTCTTGTAATTCTGTTAAAATTTTAAAATGGTTTGAAACTGTATTATAAGGTGCCTTCATATCTAGAATTGACAGGTCTTCCTGATGAATTAGATCTTTTATTCTTATGTGATATCACTTTTTTGCATAATATTTTCCCATAAAATCTTCCTTGACAGATATTAAATTAGGTGCACTTTCTTTTGTTTCGTGTTTGCATGAAATACCTTTTTAAATCTTTTAAATTACTTTTTAAAAAGTAATTGGACCACAGATGCTTTTAACTTTCAATCTTTCTGTATTTTTCTATTTTAGATACATCTCTTGCAACTGGTGGTTGAGTTTATGTAGCCCTGCAGGTCAAGTTCAATATTTCCCCCTTGTGACAATCTTACATATATTAGAGCCTAACCTCTTATAGTACCCAGGTGTTCTCTTTTCTGGGCTAATTATTCTACATCCTCCAGCTATTTCCTTTGCCAAATGGCTTAGATGTCAAGATTTTAGACATTTTACAGAATCCAGGCAAATAAAGGAGAGAAATGGACTTGCTCCTTGCATTAAACTTACAAAAACATTCTTCACGTACTCTTAAAATCTCATTATGCTGCTTTTAATGGACACAGATACAGAGAACTCTCTCTCTTACCAGAAGAAAAGCCTCAGTATAAAGTTCATGACAGGTGTTAACCAATGGCAGCCCTGGTCCCCATGGTTGGGGCTGGGGGTGGGTCCAGCTGGGGTGCACACAATGGCTGTCTCATGGGAAAATGCAACAAGTATGAGAAAAAGCAGAATCTAGATGTGTATGTGACACAGTCTGAATTTTAAACGCCAGTTCAAATAACGCTGGAAACCCCATGTGGGTTGAATGAAGCACCAGTTCCCTGACTCTGCTCCTGAGCTCCTCAGACCTGACTGTTTCCTTCAGCTGCTCCAGGGAAGTCCGTCTCCTCCCTGGCCGGTGCCTCCGCCCTGGGATGCTGCTGCTTTCCTGTTACTGTCGGCCAGTGTGGATTAAGCCATCACAGATAAATTAAACTGCCACCTAAAGTCTCGTAAGTTATTTGGGTGGGAAAGAGGGAACATTATCTCACTCTTGACTCATACTGTATGAGTTTCCCTACAGCTGCAACCTCTAAACCTTTTTTGGCGGTTGGGGTCTTGCTAAATCTTGTTTCCATCATTCTGTCCCAAGCACTTATGAATCTTTTGACACATACACAAAAGGTTTTACTTACCAAACTCACCTTGTACCATGGGATGCTTCCCACTGTCAGCCCAGCTGGAGAGAAGACAACCAGCCCTTGTCCACTCTCGGTCCTGACTACCTCAGGTCACACTGTCTCTTTTTTTTTTTCCAAAATTTCAAACGTTTCCCATTTTTAATTTTTTACACCAAAAAAAGGTATCAATACTTTTCATTCCACTCTTGTCAGCTTTAGCCAAAGCCTTCTGAGCTGCAGTCATTTTGCTATTTTTCTTTTCAGTCTTCAAATCCTTAGTATTAAACTTAGTGTAATCTTCTTTTGCTTCTACAGGCTCATCTGATAACCTTATTTGCTTTGATGGAGGATTTGGCAATGAGGCTGAAGGTTCTGGAAGCTTTAAGTATTTAGATAAGTCATTACTTAATTCTTTAGGGATGTAATCAGATATCAGGCCATGGGCATAAAGAATATAATCCTCTTCCTTGTCAGCGGAAACTTGGTCACCAGAGAAAAATGCAGTTGACTGTACCCGGGAAATGACATTCACATTACTGGTTTTTAATGCTGCCGTAGTTTAACCTTTTCTTCCAGCCACTTTAATGTCTTCTTTTCGCTGTACTTGTAACATTTCTTGTTGTCTATTTCTTTTTCCTCTGTCACACGGTGAAGTAACTTCTCAAGTTCAGGAAGTTTCAGCAACAAGATGCAATTTGCAAACACGTTATCCACCACAACTTGATAGGGAGGGGCTGAAACTTCCCCTCCTCATCAGCCTTTATGAGGTAGTGGAGCAGCAGAACTAGAGGATCCACAGGTGTGGCAAAGTGGAGACGGCCTCTTGATTGAACTGATTGATTTATAAACCAAGAATGGTTGAAAACTTTTACTTCAAACAGCTGCTGTAGACACATAGCGAACAACTAAATGGCTCCGTCTCCTGAACACCAGTTAACCAGTTTTACAAACATTAGCCCACTTTTCACCTTCTTTGAAACATCTTCTAAATATTCGTCTGAGGCCACTTCGAGCCTACTGGATCCCTGGTTCCAACCCAGTAGGATCACAGAAGCAGGGCCAGCTGCCAGGTGGGGGACACCAAAGGCAGAAACCCCACCGCCCACCGGGATCCGGGCGGGAAACACTTCCGGTCCCTTTGGGCGCTTCCGGGTTTGAACACCGCGGCTTGTAACGACGTGTTACCAAAACGCGGGCCAGCTGTCCCAGAGAGAAATCCCGTCCCCTGCCGGCGGGGAGTGGGAGCGGCAGGGGTCGGGGGCGGCGCGCCCTGGGTCGCGGGCCCCTCAGCCAGCGCTTGGGCCGCTCCGCCGCCAGGGTGCGCATGTTCACCTGGAACCAGGACCACCACACTGTTTCTTTCCCAGGGAGACAAGGAGATGAGCTCAGAGCTCGGCGCCTTTCACCTGCCGCCCTCCCAGGCCCTCTGACCCTGTGACCGCCCTTCCTTCTCCCCTTTTCCCGGCTGTTCTTGGGGGAGGTGAGCCTTGGTCTCTCACATGAGACTCTTCCTAGTTCTCTGAGGAACTCAGAGCAGATGCCATGGGTGCCCCTCAGCCTGCTAGTGGCAAGGAGCCACGCTCTTGACCCCAAGAGAGAGTCCTTGGACCTTCAAGAAAGAATTCAGGGTGAGTCCATAAAGTGACAACAAGTTTATTAAGAAAGTAAACGAATGAAAGAATGGCCACTCCACAGGCAGAGCAGTGGTATGGGCTGCTCAACTGAGTATGGAGTTGTTTCGGGATTGTATGTTAAACAAGGGGTAGATTATTCATGAGTTTTTCTGGGAAAGGGGTGGGAAATTCCAGGAACCCAGGGTTCCTCCCCTTTCTAGACCACATAGGGTAACTTCTAGATGCTGCCATGGTACCTGTCAGCTGTCATGGCTTTGATGGGAGTGTCTTTTAGCATTCCAATGCATTGTAACTACTGTAATAACCAGTAAGAACTAGAGGTGACTTTCATTGCCATCTTGCTTTTGCTGGGTTTTGGCCAGCTTCTTTACTGCTTTCTACTTTATCAGCAAGGTCTGTGTGACCTGTATTTTGTACTAGGCTCCCACCTCATCCCCCGACTTACATAATGCCTACCCTCCTGGGAATGCTGCCCAGCAGCCCTCAGCCTCATTTTACCCAGCCATTACGCAGAATGGAATCTCTCTGCTTTGGGTGCCTCCGCCAAGCCTACTTACGCCTCCCTAGGTCTGCGACAAGACACAGAAAGTAAGACAATGTTGTGTTTAAGGGCCACACGGTGGCTTGTGTTTCACTTTTCCACGGCAGAATGAGACGTGAGAAAACGACTCACGGAGAGTCAACTCCAGTCTGGGTTAAGGCTGAATCATCCCTTTGATTAGTATGTACACAAAAAGAGCTCAAGAGACTCCCGTGTGGGGAAACTGACGAGATACTCAATTCTTTCTTCAGATACCCATAAACTTGTGGCCCCCCTGTGCTGATACGTAACTGTGCCCACCATTGGTTCCTGCCGGCATGTTCTAGCGTCACTGGCCCCTGACTTCAAGCATGAAGCTGCGGACCCTCACAGGTCAGTGCTACGCTTTTTAAAGATGGTGTGTACCGAGTTTCCTCCTCTCATGTTCCAATGTGTCTGGAGTTTCCTCCTTGTGGCAGGTTCATGGCCTGGCAGACTTCGGCAGTGAAGCCACAGACCTCTGCAGTGAGTGTTACAACTCTTAAAGATGGCACATACAGAGTTGTTTCTTCCTCCTTCCTCCCGGTGGATTTGTGGTCTTTCTGACTTCAGGAGTGAAGCTGCAGACCTTCGCAGGGAGTATCACAGCTCATAGTGCACACTCAATGAACAACCAGTAAGAGTTATTGCACACAACTAAAAAACGAATCTTCCACAGCGTACAATAGAACCCCACCAAGCTGCCTGCAGGGTCAGGTGGCCAGCTTTATTCCCTTATTTGGCCCCACCCACAGCCTGCTGATTGGCCCATTTTACAGAGCCCAGATTGGTCCATTTTACAGAGTGCTGATTGGTCCATTTTACAGAGAGCTGATTGGTCCATTTTTACAGAGTGCTGATTGGTGTGTTTACAAACCTTTAGCTAGACACAGAGCGCTGATTGGTGTGTTTACAAACCTTTAGCTAGACACAGAGCGCTGATTGGTGTGTTTACAATGCTTTAGCTAGGCAGAAAAGTTCTCCAAGTCCCCACCTGAGGCAGAAGCCCAGCCGGCTTCACTTCTCATAGTTGCAGGGTGACAGAAAAGGATGAGAATAGATGCCGTTAATAGTAAAAATATTAAGTAATAAAAAGATGAAATCGCCTCTTGGGCTCAGCAGGCTGCCAAGGCCAGCATAGCTGTGTAATGAGCTGGGTAGTTATGGCATGTTTTCACTTTATTAATAATGGGCTTTTAAGTCTTTTTTCTTGCCTTTTATGTAAGTAAACATATCAGTGTTTATATACACACAAAAGATGCATTCACATGGAGACTGATGTCTGGGAGGGGAGATGGACTGTGGGCTTCTGTAAACCTGGAAGGAGCCTCTAGAGTTTGCTGTGTTTCCTCCCTGTCTTCCTGGGTAGCGCCCTCTGTGCCCTGAAACACTGTGTACAAATCTTAGCAGAATGACGGGTAGTGGCGGCCTTCACATTAAGTGTATCACCTGCCACCCCTCAGTGCTGGCCCTGAGAATGAAATCAGAGTCCCGTGTAGGAGGGAAGAACGAGTGTCTCTCATCTGTTTATTGACTGTACACCCCGCCGGGGGCCTTTGTCACCTGGAACCTCCCGTTGCCCATTGTGAAAAGGTGCACCTTAATATCTACTCCACCGGGTTTTCGTGACAATTAAACAAAAATCTATACAGGTAAAGAAAGGCCTTTTGTAAATTAGAAGGGGCCTTGTAAAAGTGGGGGGCTGCTGTCAGCGAACACTGGTTAGTGCGATAGAGTTCTACAACCACTACCAGCAGCTGCTTGACTGTGAGGGCCTGCAGGCACGCGGAGCTGTGGAACCTCTGGGCTGTTGCTGGTGTGTTTGGCTAACTGAACCACACCGCATGGACTGTGTACTGTTTTAAAGACAAACCTTTATAAATCATTTAGGGAGAAATCCAGTGGTGCCAAAGGGGCCTTCATAATGGGACCTCCTTATTTTAAGCAGACCAGAAATAGTTCATTATAAAAAAGATGCATGGATCATCACAATATTCAGTGAGTTTAGGAAACTCTGACCCCTGACATCAGCCTCCCTGTCACCGCTCAGCTCTGTAGAACATTCTGCTGTTCCATGAGATAAACACAGGGACAGTCTAGGAAACACTGAAATAGAAATCGCTGAGCAGAAGCATAGTGTGCTGCATTTACTCTGTGGTTTTGGGCAGCACGCTAAGTGTACCGTCCTGGGTGAGGACCTTAGGGGAGAGTCTTGGCTCTTGGGCAGTGACAGGCAAAGAGAGTGCATGAGGCCTTCCTTATTCCTTGTGGAGCAGGAGCTGCCATGCACCTTTTGAGGAAATGCAAGAGAGAGTTGCACTGGGCTTTGCAACAGAACACAATGGGAGCGGAGCCAGCACAGGATAGGTCCCGGGCCACCTGCACTCAAAAGTGACCACAGCAGGAGCTGCTGGAGGTGTGGTGGGTGGGGATGTGGGCTTCATACCACATCCACCCTCCTTCCCCAAAAGGAGAACGAGATGTGTCACTTTCTGAAAAGTGGCTGCATCCTGATCTAAAGAAAGGGAGCAGCGTTAAATTAGTTCATACTTTTCCTCTCTGCAGTGTGCCAGCACTCTCTCCCTGCCACTCCTACACCCCCCCCAGACTGCCCCCTCCACTGATATCTGTCTGATACCCTCTGATCCGACAGGTGAGGGACTTGTGACATTAATTTGTAGCCATCAGGGCTGAGTTTGAGAATGGCTCTTGCACTAGTTCCTCGAGCAACTTTCTAACATCCCTGCGCTTCAATGCACTCCTCCATTGAACAAGGAAAGTAACATCAAGATTGGGGCAGTACATGGGAAGTGCCCACTCCACGGTCCCAGTATCTGGCACATAGGCAGATTATTACTTCTCTAATCTGGCCAGCCAGACATCAGAGAGGGATGATCTCAGTCTGAACATTTCCTCAATTCTCTGATCGTTTGGATTTTTTTTTTTTTAAAAGGCAGGGACCTTGTCGTTTCCATCTGCACATACAGACCCCAGGTCATCTTTGTCCTCTGACAAAGAGGACGTTTGATTCAGCAAGTGCCTGGCCATCCTCATCATGCTTGTCTTACTTCAGTGGCGGGTTGGGACATTGCTAACACCAATCGGTCCGTCGTTTCATCTGAGTCCTCTCTCAATTCAATTCTGCCAAAAGTCACCCAGACAGGTCACAGAAAATAAAAGCAAGAAGGTACACCAGAAGGTGGGTAAAGCCCATGATAGTTTTTACAACAACTGCTACAGAATAAAGATGATGAATTGTTTATTGACTGGAAACATATCATTGAATTGTCCTTAGACAAAATAAGATCTTGATCCAAACTCCTTGTTTACATTTTCTTTTTGATCTAAGAAGTGAAATAGGTATGTAAAGAAATCAGCAAATCAATGGCTACCTGTGTTTCTGTTGATCGAAACTGGATGATTCATATAAGCATCATCTTAATAATATCTAGCAGCTGAACATCTACATAGACCTATACATTTATTCAGTTAAGCAAGAAATTTTAAAGTAATGACTCTCTTCTGGGCACTGTGCTATGCACGACAGATAGAAAACTGGACCAGAGAGAAGACCTGCCCATGGAGCTCACACAGTAGCTGAGGTCAGGCACAAGAGTAGATGATGTCAGCCTTGGACAGTACATGACAGATGAAGGCACAGGGTGTGAAATAAACTATTAGGAGGGTCTCAGCTCAGAGAGTTAAGAAAGGCATCTGGTAAAGAATGTAAAAGCTGGAGTGGGGGTGATGAGGACTAAAGGTGGTTGGAAGAGGGAAAAGATAGAGGAGTACACACCTTGTCTTGGTGCATTTTGTAGTGAGGAAGGTGTCCTGACCAGGGCATAAATGGTGGAACATATAATGATGACCGATGAGGCTGGAGAAGACAGGGACAAGTTATCCTAAGGAGACAAGATCTTGCCTCATAGGAACAGGAAGCTCCCGAAGGAGTTTGGGACGGAGTAACTGAAACTGTAAGGAAGCTTTAGAAAGTTCTTCTGGGTGCTGTATGAAGATAGATTTGAGAGATGTTTTGGAATACAGGTACTCCTTTACTTTCGGTGGGGTTACATCCTGATAAACCCATTGTAAAGTCAAAAAATTACAAGTTGAAACATTATAAGCTGGGGACGGTGTACATGAGACTTTTCAGAGACATGTTTGACTCTATTGCAATAGTCCAGGCAACAGCTAGGAGGCTCTGCGCTGGAGTGATGTGGCCGGGACATGGAGCACAGAGGATCTCTGAACAGTGTTTGCTGTCTTGCCCGAACACACTTCAGTAGGCACTGTGTCCAAACAAATGCAGAACAGAGAACACACAGCAGGGTTTTGGGTTTTTTTTTTTCTTCCAAAAGTTATTAAGAGCTAAACTAGGGGTGGAAAACACAGTGTGACATTATAATACCCATTGTGGAGAATGCCAGCTTCAGCACACGGCAGAAGGGACGATGTTGTGCTGACACAGTGACAGGAAGAACATAGCTTTAAGTGATAAAATTACACTTATTAAACAAAGGCACTATTTTAGGCACCACGTTCCACTGGATGGGGCAGCAAAAACAGATGGTGCAATGCAAATTGCTGGACTATGGTTCTCCAGAAGTGTGTCCTAACTTAGAATTTGGAATCCTTCAACTTGCCAAGTGCTGACAACTCATTCTGCCTATTCCACCACATATTAATTTGCATCCACGTCCACTGTTTAGGTTTTTAATTATAGAAGAAATACAATCACACGGTAAAAATTTGAAGGAAATCACACATTAGAGTATAAATTAAAAAGTAAATTTCTTCCACTTCCACTACTACCTTCAGCTATAACTATACTTAACAATACCTCGCGGGTTCTTTTTGCGTTTTAATGGATATAAAACATTCATAAATCTATGTCCTTTTATAAATCTTTATTTTGATGTACGGAAATTCTCAGGAATAGAATTGTTTGTCTATGACTGTGTTCACTGAATTTTTAAAGCTTTTGCAAAACTGTTCTCCAAAAAAGTACTGCACACATTTTTTTCCGACCCAGAAGTTTTCAAAGTGTCTGCTTCCTTAAACTCTTGTCAACATGGAGTTTTAAACTTCAACATTTTTTCCAAACTGATACATGAAAATGCTTTTCATTTTTAGTCTTTACATATATTAAATTTTTTACTGACTTTTTATGTTCGTGTGGTAAAATTTACTCTTTCTGGAGTACAATTCTATGGATTTTCACAGACAATACAATGGTGTAATCACCGTAGCAATCACGATGTGGCCCAGCTCTGTCACCCTCCACCTCTGCTCTCCATCATG